CCTGGAATTCTAGGAAAGACCGTTATTTCGGGGCTTCCGCGTGATGGGAGGTGGAAATTGGGCTTCATCGTGTATTTCGGGAAGTACAGATTTAGCGGAAATTCGTTCGTTATGGAATTGTCGCTACAGGGTGGGCCAGAAAAAAAGCCCCTAATTTGCACTGAAATAACTCACGAAAGGAAACGAATTGGACCATGGTTACCTTGCCAGAATGCTTAAATATGCTGGGTATGAAGAATAAAGACAAGTTGTTTTTTAGGATTTTTGACGACCCCCTACTCGTTAAGAATTTTTGAACATTTTTGAAAAAGTAGAAAACTTTGAAGAGGAAATTAATGGAACTTTTAATGAATTAGCGGGCTATGAAGGGTATCAAAATGAAGCTCTTGGAATGCGCTATTAAAATAGTGGTAAAGAATATAGAACGGTTTAACTAGCTGTAAAAAGGAACGTTCGGAAAATCGGCACTTTTTGCAGAAATAATTCCAGATATAATTTTTTTACCATTCGATCTTTCTGATATTTTGCATTTACGATGAGATAGTTAACTACTAACTTTTGGCATTAAGATTTTCAAAATCCCGATCAAAAAAGTTTTTGGCACTTTGCCAAGTCGGCGGAATTTGTAAGTTCTAGGCTCTCATAGTTAAATTTATAACATGGTTATCTTTGGCAAACAGGATTACATCTAACAAATACAAAAAGTGACGGCGGCCATGTGCTTTCTTTGGTTAACTCGGAATCGCTCCTTCTGGAAAAGTCCGGATATTCTGAATGCTCCTATAGACGGCTAGTTAATCCGAATGACAATCTTTACCACTATTTTAGTAGCGCATTCCAAGAGCTTCATTTTGATACCCTTCATAGCCCGCTAGTCCATTACAAGTTCCATTAATTTCCTCTTCAAAGTTTTCTACTTTTTCAAAAATGTTCAAAAATTTTTAACGAGTAGGGGGTCGTCAAAAATCCTAAAAAACAACTTGTGTTTATTCTTCATACCCAGCATATTTAAGCATTCTGGCAAGGTAACCATGGTCCAATTCGTTTCCTTTCGTGAGTTATTTCAGTGCAAATTAGGGCCTTTTTTTCTGGCCCACCCTGTACATAGCGGGGTGCCAGAAACCAAATAAGAAGAAAGAGAGGGAAATAGAGAGAGAGAGAGAGAGAGAGAGAGAGAGAGAGCGAGAGAGAGATGGCGAGAAGGGGAGAGATATAGCGAGAGAGAGCGAGCGAGATAGAGAGAGGAAGAGCGAGAGAGAGTGAGAGAGTGAGCGAGAATGAGAAAGAGAGAATTTAATTGAACGATACCGAAAAACGCTTGAGATCCAAAACCGGAATATTCCCTTCCCGGGCCTTTTAATAATGTTTTGGTGCGAGTAGAATGCCTGCATTTTTGTTGGCCCTCCCCTACAGTGGCCCAGGGTATTAACATAGCCAAAAAATCCACCGAAAAACGCGTGGGAACCAAAAATAAGGCCACCAATCTCCTGGCCTTGCCACAAGACCCTGCCTGAAATATGGCCCCTAATATGGGGCCATAAATTTTCGGGTGCAAATGAGACGGGGCGCCCCCTAAAACACGGCGCGGAAAATGAAGCCAGCAAGGGTTTAGTGTTTTTCAAGGGACCGGGAAGTTTGAGTTGGATTAAAAAGAGGACGAAACTGTTGAAAGGACGGAATTGCCGTGATCCTCTTTTCAAAAAACGAAAACTCTTCGACAACCATAATTCCGATAGGCAAGATCCCGCTAGATAAAATCCCGACAGCGCAATCCCGACGGAATTCTGGCATTCAAAAATACCGACCGGCATAATCCCGACAGCGCAAATCCCGACAAACATAAGTCCGACAACCATAATCCCGACAGGACAAAACCCGACAGCCATAATCCGGACAGTCGTCAGCCGGACAAACAAGATACCGACAGCCGAAATCCCGAAATCACGATCGTTTGTACGCCACATTTAAGCAGTTATTTTGTATGTTTTGCTGTCGGGATTTCCGGGTTTCAGGATTTTGCCCGTCGGGATTTGAGCGTTTTTCCTGCTTTGATAGCTCCATAAACGTAAGCCCCCACGGCGCTTTTAAATCACGTGGTATCTATCGCCCAACACAAGATGGTCGATACTTGCTAACCCCTTTAAGAACCAGAAAACCGACAAAAATTGCTAAATTAGCATGTTGCAAATACCAATCCATTGATCGAGCTTGCAGCCTGCCATATGTATTGTTGTCGACCCCGAAAAATGTAAGGAATATTCTATTTACACCACGATTCCCACAGAACCACCTCACCACTCAATTATTCAGGGAAAAGCGCCCGGTCTGCAGGTATTGGGCGGATGGATGCAAAAATAGGCCCTGGACACGACGAGGAGCACCGGATATCCGATCCCAGGGCTTTTCCCTCTCGAGTATTTTGTTGTGTATTTTGGACAGTCACGTACGGAAGTACGGAGCATGTCAAATTGACGGACCATGAGAGTTACTGACTACTTACTATACAGGGAACGAGAAACAGAGAGAGAGAGAGAGAGAGAGAGAGAGAGAGAGAGAGAGAGAGAGGGAAGAGAGAGGTGGAGAGAGAGAAAGAGAGAGGGAGAGAGAAAGATAGAGAGGGAGAAAGGGATAGAAGGAGAGAGAGAAAAAGAGAGAGAGAGAGAGAGAGAGAGAGAGGGAGAGAGAGATGTATAGATAGAGACCGAACGACAATAAAACAAGGAAGCCACAGAAATCTGAAAATTTAGAAACCGGAATAACCATGTAATTCCCACATGCATATTTTGCTCCACTGGCAGGCCGTGCTATGAAAGTCTTGCTCAGCTCAAAAACGCGTGGTAATCGCGCAATTTTCGAATATTTGTCATCGAAGAACGAGCTCCGAAGCGCAATCAGCCCTAAATCCCCAGTTCATACCAAGTACTACCCTAATATTCGCCGGAATATCATCCAAAAATCCCGGCCGGGCTACGGTAATCCGTGTGCGGGCGCCAAATTAAAATTTGAATAGGAAACCAGAGCGTGGCAAGTCTGGAAGGTATTACTGTATAGTTTGTCATGGGACATCAGAATGTATAGGAGGAGGATGAGAATGAAACGTGGTACCACCTGGCGGTACCTGCTGCATGTTCAAATGACTATAACTCGAGAACCGGACGCAAAATTTTAAAGCTGGTTAAAGGGACAGGAGCGGCATAGGGCAATCGATTACGCCCGGGAAAGAAAATGTCTCTGCGCCTCTCCCCTGGGCGCCCTCTCTCGCCGCCGCATCACTTTAAGGTAACCGATAAAACTCATCGAGTAGCATAAGCGCTGGGAATTTTAAAGAAACTGATGTTATTTTCGGCTTCTATAAAGGACCGAAAAGCCGAGTGCTCAACGTGGGTTTGGGGGGGGGGATACCACAAGGAGTCAAAACTCCGAATTTTGATTTTTGAGGCTCAGTAATTGCTACATAGGATCGCGCTTTTTTTTTGTTAGTCTACCTATGCACAGTTCGAAGACGTTGAAGCTACATCATCCGAACGAAGTTGGACGGCGAGGGCTAACTAGTAAGCGGAGACGACGACCTGAAGTTTGAAGACGACCTAAAATTTCCAGCCGTAAAATCACGGCTCCGTCTTTCCAAAAAATTATTTCCGTTCTACCCCACTTGATGGATCGCTCCCCGGCGATCAGGTCATGTTTCGGCCAATCTCCTCGTGGGGTTGCTGACTGCTGACTGACCGAGGCGGGAGACAGTCTCCCCGTATCATCCCGGAAAATAACCACATTTTGTGCGATTTTGTGCAGATTTTGGGGTAATCAGCACGAAAAGGGACAGAGCTGTACAATTTGGCAGGGGATTCAATATTTATCGCCTTTAGTTAGGTATATTTCTGCTTTTTATCTCTCTCTCAATCTCTCTCAAATGCTCTCTCTCTCTCTCTCTCTCTCTCTCTCTCTCTCTCTCTCTGAACCTTGGTTCTCATTCTCACTCACTGTTTCACAGTCTGTGCCTCACTCTCTCTGTGTCCCTTCTGACTCTCTTTTACTCGGTTTCTTGATCCCTCGCTCTCTTTCTCTCTCCCTCTCTTTCTCTCTCGCTCTCTGCCCCTCTCTCTCTCTCGTTCTCTTTCGCTTGATGGTAGTGGTGATTAGTTCAATACCATAGAAAAAGAATGCTTAAAATCTCCAAAGCACAACCCCCCATCGCTACACCATAGTAGTTATCCGTACTTTTTCCAAAAACCGGCTAGAAATCATACCCACACGACATTTCGGGGGGATAAAATAGGCGGGAGCGGGGCGGAGAAACGCCAGTTGCACACACCCAAGGCCTGTCTCCAATTTTGCGGCTCAATTGCTTGAACACAGTTTCCCATGACACAGCGGTTTTTGACCTTCATTACCGTAGTTTGATTCCAAGACGTTATTTAATTATCTGCCATAAAATTTGAAGACATTTTAGGAAAGATGATCCTCCAAGTGCTCTTCGCTGTCGCCTCGGCAACTCTCACCGGATATTTATTGTACGTTTTATATAAGTTTATGCATTTGCGGTGCGGGTGCGGGTACGGAAGCGTATCATGACGTACTATTGCGTATTATGCAGCGAATTCTAGAGGCACGCACCGTACTGTATCATAGTGTTGCGAACTACGCAGCACTTTTACGTACACCTTTGCGTACTATACCGTACTGTTGCGTAGTCAACCGTATCCTAGCCCTTCAATATACTGTAATTTACTGTAGACTTTTGTTTTAATCAAGTTGATAATTTAGATTTCTTGGCGATTAAGAGGTTACAAGTGTATTTCAGATGGGCCTTCAAGCGCAGTTACTACTGGAAGGAGCGGAATCTCCAAAGTCCACCAGGTAAGCGAGGGAGAGAGAAAGAGAGAGAGAGAGACGAGAGAGAGAGAGAGAGAGCGTGAGAGAGAGTGACACACAAAAGTAATTACATTTTCAGGCATCTTCCCCTTCGGCCACATCTTCCAGGTTGTCGACAAGGAAAAGCCATGGTATCTGGAGCTGGCGAAATATACAAAGGTACTCCCAAAGATATATTTTGCAAAAATGTGTTATTATTAGAAATTCGGCAAATTCTGGGGGTACCAAGAAGGTGTTCATAACGTTTTGGTCGTTGCTGATCTCGAGACTGCAAATGAAATATTGCACAAACGATTTGAGGAATTTCCGCAGAGGAAGGTGGGTTAGAGAGAGCGAGAGAGCTAGAGATAAAGAGAAAGAGAGACTTTCAATATTTTAGGGCGATCACCTAATCCAGCGCGATCCAAAGGACGATCGAGTTCATTTGGCAGATGCTTGGGGCCAGCGGTATGACTATGAAAGTTTTCCTTATACTTTTTTGAGGTGGAAGCGGCTGCGCTCGATCGTTATGCCGCAATTTTCGAACAACTCTCTGAAACGGGTAAAATAATTTTTATTTAGTATCTCTCTCCTTCTCTCTCTCTCGCTCGCTCTGGCTTTCTCTCTCTTTCTCTCTCTCTATCTCTCTTCTCTCTCTCTCTCTCTCTCTCTTTCTTTCTCTCTCTGCCGGCTTCACTTTCCTCTCTCTTGCAGATCTCCCCGATCGTCAACGATTCCGCTCGACACCTCGTTGCACACATCGGAAAACACGTTGATAAGGACCCTATCAACATTCACTTGTTAGTACCTAGCGAATTACGGTAGCGAGGTCACATTTTAGGTACTACCAAGAATACACCATGGACGTGATCGCCAGAATCGCCATGGGCGTGAAGGGCAGCCAGCAGTGGAACAGTCAATATCCCGAGATATTGAGAGGGGTAGGTTGATGGGGTGTGACGCTCTGTTTAAGACCCATTAAAGGCGGTGTTCTATGGCCAATTATATCAACTGTCACGCTATCAGCCTATAGATCCTATCTTATACAGGGTGTCCCAAAAAAAAACCCCCCCCTACCTAGCGGTCCGCGGTCAAGTCCGATTTTTATGATTTAACTACCAATCGAAAGCTCTCGAAAAGGCGAGAAAACAAGCGGGTTTCGTTTTCTAAGATTTAATCTGATTCTAGCGATATTTCAGTTTTTCCTAAAAAACCGGGAATTTTTCATCAGGAATTTCGCAATTAGCATGCAGATCTCGCATAAATCAGCAGTTTTCATGGTTTTTGGACATAAAATTAGCAAATAAAAAGGCTTAATGAAGAAATTCAACCCTCCTTGTTTTCTCGCCTTTCCGAGAGCTTTCGATAGATACCTAAATCGTAAAAATCGGAATCGACTGCGGACCGCTAGGTAGGGAGGGTTTTTTTTTGGGACACGCTGTACTGTACAATTTAGTTGTTCGACCGCAACATGAAAGAGCCGTTCTACCTGATGCTGACCGTGGCTCCGTTCTTGAAACCGGTATGTTTGAGCTTGAGCCTCGGCAAGGCATGAGTTGGAGCCAAGCCAAGGTTCAGCCCAAGCCTAAGCCTACGTCTAAGTCGAAGCCTAAACCAGAAGCGTGAGCTAAGTTTAAGTCAAAGCCTACGCCCAAATTCACGCCTAAGCCTAAACCACTTCCAGATCCTGCAACCCATTTTCTTGCGCCTCGCCACAATCCTGAAGCTCCCGATCGGCAGGCTGTACGCGCAGATTGAAATTGCCGTCGCCGAACGGAAAAAGGCTAGGGTAGGCGCTTGCTCGGCTTCATTCCAAGACGCGGTTTGTATGCGGGTGTAAAGTACGTCTTTAGGCTGCCGGCAACATCACCAACGACGACTTTATCGATATGTTTTTGAGCGCAGAAGCCACAATTGATCACTCGCAGGAGGGGTCTTTTGATCGCCGCGATCCTACCATAGCTAAAAAGTTGACGACGGAAGAGGTGAGAGAAAGAGAGAGAGAGAGAGAGAGAGGGGGGAGAGAGAGAGAGAGAGGGTGACCGAGTAAGCGAGAGTAATGAGAGTATCTTCAGGTAATCGCTCAATGCTTCGTCTTCCTCCTCGCTGGCTTCGACACTACGGCCAACACCCTGGCTTACGTCTCGCATTTCTTGGCGTTAAATAAGGATATTCAAGATCGATTACGCGAGGAAATCGATCACGTTTGTACCACCGAGGTAAGCGAGAGAGATAGAGAGAGAGGGAGAGAGAGAGAGAGAGAGAGAGAGAGAGAGAGAGAGAGTGTGATCTTTTCCAGGAAGTATCCAACGAGCAACTAGCCGAACTAAAGTTTATGGATTGCGTGACGAAAGAAGGGCTACGCCTCCATCCTCTGGCCACTGTGTAAGAATCTCGACGTTATGATTTTGGCATTTAATGAATATATCATTTTAGGTTTTACATTTTTATTTTAGCGCTGTCGCCAGAGTGGCGGAAGAGGAATGTGAAATCGCGGGGATTTCGATTGACAAGGGCACGATGGTCCAGATTGACGCCTACACTCTGCAGCGAAGCAAAGAAATCTGGGGCGCCGACGCGGAGGAGTTCGTGCCAGATCGGTGAGTACTGCAGTCGCGAGCCTGGCTTAGGCTTAGGCTTAGGCTTTGGCTTAGGCTTTGGCTTAAGCTTAGGCTTTTGTATGAAAAACTCCAACACTTGTCTTCAGGTGGATGAACCCAACCAGGGAGCAACAGATGGCCTACCTCCCGTTTGGAGGCGGACCTCGCGTTTGTGTAGGTAAAAGTTTCCATATTTTAGATTTTTTTAAGGATTTTAGGGTCCGGTTTTTAATGCATCTGCCTTCTCAACACATTTAAAAAAATTTTTGAGAATGTCTAGCTCAAGGAACACTTAAATCCATTTTTACAGGCAGCCGACTGGCCTACACCGAGGAGAAGATGGCCCTAGTGCAATTGCTAAGGAAATACGAGTTGCATCCGGTACCGAATCCAAAGGTAGGGAATGAGAGAGAAAGAGAGAGAGCGAGAGAGAGAGGGAGAGAAAGAGAGAGCGAGAGAGAGAGAGAAGCTTTTTCAGGAAATGGAGCTCCGCGGTCCGATCACAATCTCGCCAGTTTCCGTCGATGTTCTGATCCGGAAACGAGCCTAAATTTGTATATTTATTTGCATAAATATTTTATATTCATTCCTTGGTTTTGGGACGTGGCGGGCTAGCAGTGATTCTTTAGGAAATTTTGAAAAAACACTTTGAGTGGGCGGAATTTTGGTTTTTTTGATAACAGCTGGGCTTGAAAGGTCATCCTCAACGTGGAGGGACAGAGAGAGAGAGAGAGAGAGAGAGAGAGAGAGTAAGAGAGAGAATGAGAAGCAAACATATATTCAACCCCCTTGTTCTCCAAAACGCAACCTCAAAACCTAATCCCAACCTCCAACCTGGACCCCAAAAAGGGCTTAACATGAGCGTTTAGGGCCCAGCCCCAGGCCAGGGCCCAAGAAACAGTGAAACTCGATTTCTGAGCAAAAAGTCCATCTCCTCCTGCGGGCCGGCCCTCAGATGGGGCCACTTTTTTCTCTTGGAAGACATTTAAAGGGTCGGCCAACTCCGTGTTGGTGGGAAATTGCCCCAAATCAACTTGCAGACGGCTGGTGGAGGAGGAGGAGGTTTTTGTTCGATTTGAAACTTTTTTGCGGTTTCTACCGAGTTGAAAGATTGCTGAAGCTATTTTGCGTTCAAAAACAAGTTGGTTCAAAGCATTTTTGGTAAAGCTATATCTAAATTTATTTCTGGAACGTTTAAAGTGAATGGGAATGCAAAAAACGCTGAATTTTGCGCTATAGTACTATCTCTAGCTCCGGCTTTCTCGCTCTGTCTCTCTGCCTCGCTTTCTCTGACTCTCTCTGTCTCTCTCCGACTCAATCTCCCACTAGCTCTCTTGTTCTCTCTCTCACTCTCTTTCTCCCTCTCGCACTCTCACGCCCTCTCGATTTCTCTATTTCGCTCTCTCTCTCTCTCTCTCTCTCTCTCTCTCTCTCTCTCTCTTCTGATCTTTGTCTTCCCAAACCCTGCTGTTCTTCCTCGCCCAGCCATGCAAATTTCCGGAAAATTCTATCCAAAGACCCCATTTGCGCTCTTTCGCAACTTTCCGTTCGACACCCTAAGGCACCCCCGGTTTTTCTAATATCAATCACAATTTCGGCCAAAATCCCGATAAATCCACTCGATTTGTTCTTCCGTTCAAATATTTACCCTCGTCACCTTGAAATTGAACCCCAAATTCCAGGCGAGTTTCTCGAGATTATGAGCAAAACTTGGACCCCTGGCCCCGGGCTAATTTGAAGGCCGAAATGAGCATTTTTCGGGTCTTGGGTGGAATGTTGGGAATGATGCGCGGCCGGGATTTGAAGGGCCGCGGCGGGGCGATGAGATTGTTTTTGCCAGCGCGTCATTTTTCATTTTTTGAGTAGCGAGAGTTGGCCGGTGGCTTGTCGGGACGATTTACTTTATAATTTGCTTTTCTTTCTTCCCTTTGACGGCTGGAATTTGGCTAGAAAATGAATTAAAATATTCCGAAGGATTTAAAAATGCAGATTTAAAAATTTCTGATTAACTTAAGAATTCACCTCTTTTTTTCTTTTTTCTCTGGGTCGTTCAATATGTTTTTTCTTTCTCGCTCTCTGCCGCTCTCTCACTCTCTCTCACTATCTCGCGCTCTCTCTCCCGCTCTCTCCGTTTCTCTCTCTCACTCTCTCTCTCTCTCTCTCTCTCTCTCTCTCTCTCTCTCTCTCTCAAAAATTCCAGCTATGATTCTAGTTTCCCGCATACTTCCTCGTTTTCCGAGCTTTTTTTAAAGCTGCTGATTAATTCAGGGTGAAGAGCCCGAGGGCATGGAAACATAAAGATTACACGTTTTTATGAACTATTTTGGCATATTTCAAGAAAAAAGTAGACTTAGGTTAGGCTTGACTTAGGCTTGGGCTTGGCTTGGCTTAGGTTAGGCTTAGCTTAAGCAGGCTTCGGATTTATTTAGCATTAGGCTTGGCTTAGCTCAGGCGTAGCTTAGGCTTAACTTAGGCTTACTGTAAAGTGTTTTTACTCAACTTGGAGTTTCGATCCGGGACCAAGTGCATCTTGTGCAGAATTTTTCGCTGATTCCGAATATGTTTTCCAAATTTGCTACGGACTGTTATTTAAAAAATCATTTTCGGTAACAATTAGGCCGAAAAATGACAAAAATTCAGACGCTGGCCCACTATTCCTTGCTTGGGGCTATGGTTCTATTCTATTACCCTTTGACAGCACCCCCTACCCAGTTGGCACCATGGTGCATTGGCAAAGTACTCGCTTGCCAAGCGCAGGGTGGCGGTTCCATCCCCGCCCTGCAACATTTCTTTTGCTTTTTGCATAAAAATCTCATATTTTATCTAAAATGCTTGTTTTGAGCTGTAGGATGCTTGTCGAGTCAACGTCTAGTCAATTTTGACGTTGAAATTAATGAAGAAAATCGAAAACTATAACGATACCTTCATTTTGGTGAAAACTAGGGTCATAATTGCCGTAGAACTTTCAGAATAACGGTCCTTAGCAAGTTTGGAAAACATATTCGGAATCAGCGAAAAATTCTGTAGAAGATGCACTTGGTCCCGATTCAAAACTCCAAGTTGAGTAAAAACACTTTACAGTTAGGTTAGGATTAGCTTCGCTTAGCTTAGGCTTAGCCGAGGCTTAACTTAGTTTTAGCTTAGGCTTAGGCTTCGGCTTAGGCTGGGGTAAACTTAGGCAGCTTGGCAACTTTCCAAAACTCGCAACTATCCACCCGGTCGGAACCCAATCCGTTTTCACAGCCCCATCCGCTTCCTCAAGGAGGGTTTTGGGTGTCCCTCACTGAGGTCAGAATTTTTAGCCACTTTTCAGGGGTGCAGCCGCAGAGGGCAAGGGGGTTGTCTCGAGAGTCCACCCTTTTTTGTTCGGCTCCTTTTTTAACTTGAAATGCGACGCCCCAGAAATGCTGCCAAAGTGGCCCCCGGGGGGTGGATGGAGAGTATCCCATCCTCGCCAAAACCAAAGCTCCACCCGACCTCCTCCGTCTCCTCTGAGATTTCTCGCATTTCTTGGTCGCTCATTTGCTCATCGTGTCGTAGACGTCCACCGGGAGTTCGGCTAAAATTAGCTGCACGTCTGAGTGGATCTGACGGCATTTTTTCGAAATCCATTTTGGTTCAAGTTTCACTTTGTCCGAGAGTTTATCTTAGGCTTCGGCTCAGCTTAGGCTTGGCTCAAGCTTACCTTAGGCTTAGACTAGGCTTAGTGTTAGACTTAGGCCTAGGTTGAAGCTGAGGCCTGGACTTCGCTTATGTTTATGCTTATGCTTAGGCTTTGGGTTAGGTTCAGGCCTAGGCCTGGCTTCGTTTGGTTTCGCCTGGCTTAGCCTGGGACTTAGGCCTAACTTTGGCTTATCTTAGGCTAGGTTTAGGCTTAGGCTTGGCCTTAGCTTAAACCGATGCTTAGGCTTAGCTTAGGCTTAGGTTTGGGCTTATTGAGACCTCGGCTTGGGTTGCGATTAGCTTTAAGGTCCAAACATTAATGTGCGAGCATCTCTCTCGCTGTTCTGAAAATCCCCCATTTAAAGCTACCAATTTTTCGACGCGCTGTCCCGCCTGAATAATTAGATGTTTTCCACCGGCGGCTATGCATTGGAATTCGCAGGGAGAAAATAGCCGAAAATATGAATATTTCCCGTGGAAGTCATCTGCTTTTACGGGTTGTTCGCGACTGGCTACGCGTAATTAGGCGTGTAACGTAGCTATGGGGTTATTTTAGCTTGTCTGGTTTTCTTTTCAAAAAGTTTACCCCCTTCTGTTTCCTTGCCATTTTATGAGAATTTGGTGTGATTTTGATTCAGTTTTCAAATCGATACCATTAATGATAGATGAATGGTATGATTATGTTTTTTCTAGAAAGCATGGTGCGCCGCGGCTCGGCCCAGTACCCGGCTTCTGCCTGCTCTACACCTACGCACGTCAAGCTGACGATAACGCCGAGTGATCCGTCGGTTAAGGTATTTAATAGTGTGGCTCTTGCCCTCTCGCTCGCTCTCTCTCTCTTTCTCTCTCTCTCTCTCTCTCTCTCTCTCTCTCTCGCTCTCCCTCTCTTCGTCCAAGATGGCAGAGTTCGTTTGGGAACTGGCACATTGATCGTATCAAGATCCTTCAAATAAGGAGAGAACGACAGAACACGAGAGAGCGAGAGCCCGAGAGAGTGCCAGAGAGAGAGAGAGAAAGGGAGAGAGAGAGAGAGAGAGAGAGAGAGAGAGAGAGAGAGAAAGGCACCGAAGAAGAAGATCAAGGCTTAACGAGATTCTACCCATTTTTTCAGCGTTCCTGGCCATGGCTTCACTCGCTCTCACCTCGACTCTCGCTTCACCGTGGGTCCCTCATCGAAGGTGGTTCTCAGTATCTGCAGGTTAGTAGTCATTAACGCTCAAAAATGGCAAAAAATAATATTGATTATCGCCTAGTATCTATTTTGAATATTTTTTGCACCTTTAGGTCCCCGACGCGATGGGGCAAAAACGGCGACTGTCCGACTTCATCCTCGAGACGCTCAGCAAAAAGTTGGTCTTTTGTAGTTCTTAATTTTCCAATTTAATTTTTTATGCTTTGTAGGATGATCAAGAGGTGCTTTAAACCCATTAAAAATCTGCCTCGCTTCCTCTAAACGTAAAAAATCTAATTTCTGAGTTAAAATCTCAACCTCCGTCAATTTTTTGAACATCATCCTCTCATTATGCGGAAAGGAAGCCATGCAAATCAAATTTCCCCGAGCGACAGCTCTCAAGTCACCCTCCAAAAAACATGTTTTCCCGGTCTCCAATTCCAAAGAGGGGGATTCCCGTCTGGACGACTCAAAATATTCATATTCTCTCCAAATAGTGCAATTATTAACTATAATTCTTCGAAATTTCGGATGGATACCGAAGTGATTTTAATTGAGCGGTAAGCTTATAGAAATTTTAGAACGATAGAAGCGAAAGGTTCGAAAATCTGGGCCGCTTTGCATAGGCTAGGAATTTTAACAAATCTTTTGTTTTTTTCGCATCCTCTCCTACCGTTTCGAGCCATAATACCGACAGCAAAAATTCCGACCCG